TTATTTGACTTTGAGAATAATAATGACAATGACATTGTCTTATGATTACCCAATTACATCCGACCGACTACAGTATACCATCCTACTACCATGAAGACATCCTTCACAATGCATTATGAATTACGTTATGTTTATGTACATCAAGGCTGAGCTTTTCAGGGGTCATGTGTGCAGACGACACATGCAATTCAGTGGGGTAGAAAACACACATACACGTCTTTGGTCTCCAGCATTTTTTTTGCGTTTTGGAATACAGTCCCTCTGCGACCCTGGACAAGTCGTCGAATGATATGAACCCTTTCAGGGACAGCGGTTGCTACAGTGGACAGTTTACCATGTTATCAGGTTACAGGGTGCACGAAAGGGTTGAGTCAGATATGATGGACCTGCAACACAACAGTATGCCCGAAGTAATTCATGTTAAGACAAACGGATCTTCCTCTGTGAAGGGTGTAAATCCTGCGCAGCGTCAACTCGACGCAGGGGCGGGTTAGACACCGTAAGTTCGCAGATGAACGCAGGCCGGCAGTTGTGAGAAACAGGAGGGCTGCGCCACTGTGGGAGTGGTCACAGCTGACTTCGATCATGGCCAATCTCCTTCCATTCACTTTTAACGTGGCGCGCTAGTCATGCATTACATTCTTGATGGAAGCACATCCGCGCCGTGAGGGAGGCACTACCCCCCAACTTTGATCATTCGTGTGAACCCAAACGTGCCACCCAGTGGAATGATTTTAATAATATAATACAATGATTCGGAAGGTTTGATGGACAATGTTCACACATGAATAACATACAATGCATTCGACTAGCTGTTGAACCCTGCGTGAGTGTGAGATGTGATCTGAGCAAGCATAAGGTTTAGATCCTCTACCCTTCCAGCTGCGCTGTTCCGCCATGCTTGGCGGAGACCGGTCTGCCAAATTGGTCTGGGGCTCATTAAAAAAAAAAAAAAAAAGAAAAAAAAATCAGAATCTGCTGGCATTTGCGCCACACTGGAGATGCCATGTCTACAAAAATAGCGTTTTGTTGTCTTAAAATTGTTACTTAGCAGTGAGGAATGTTAAAATATTTCGAAATATAAAGTTTAGAATGGGGACAATGTGATCCTGGAATGGATCATTTCCCATGGAAAAAATTAAGTGTTTAAAAATCTGAACAACTAGTGCCCCGTAATGGTGCGTTTCATCTTCCGTTGTATAATCAGACAGTACACCGAAATGAATTCGACATTAAAAATGACATCTTTTAACAACATTTACAAGTGGTGTTGGTGCTATGACTGCATACCGCTTTGCTCCTGGGCTCCAAAATCTACCGTAATTCAATTTAAAGGGTGAAGACACGGTCAGAAATTATGAATGTCGCCCTTGTCATGGGGAAGGAGAGTGCAGCTCGTCTTACACTAAAAATATCCAATAAAGTGGAGCATCCCCTAAGCAGCACACTCTCAAAAGGATTCACAACGCAGCCGGCACAATGAATGTGACTGTTTCTCTCTTGTGTCGATGACTAATATGGAGCAGCCGATAAAATCATTTGTATTGATTGTAGTCCTAACGTCTTAGAGCAAGATAGATATCGAATCCGGTAATAAAAGGCACACACAACAAAGACATCGCTATTATTAAAGCTGTCCAGCTGTTTTACGAGACACGCAATGGTTCTGTATGTACCAGCTCTAATTCTGTGATTTTGACAAATGTGCTTCCAAATTGCTGGAGATAGAGATTGCTCCTTGAGGATGAACGCTCGCTCCGCCTCGCTTCCGCCTCTCGAACGCTGTCAGCGGTGATCCAAAACCACTCCCCAACACTACAAATCTTGAACTACACAAATTGGGAGGGCAGGAAGGAACTCAAGGATGGCTGCCCCAAATTATTTGAGGAGTGCTCCTGATTCTGCATCCAAATCCAGTACAATTTTGACAAGAAACGTGCAGGGAATGAGCATGTTAATTTTCGTGTTGTTACGTGTTATCAATTCTACCATCAGTACGGAAATACAAGTAGTATCAACAGAGATGGGCATTCCATCCCTGGGACGGCACGTGATGGCTGGACGCCCCATTTGTGGGACGGAGGACTGAGGATGACGTTTTTTTTTAAAAAGGACGCACTGAGCAAGGACGGAAGTAGGTTTTTTTTTTGTCTGTTCCTTTAATCGTCCTGAACCGGCTTAAGTATGTGGTGTCCGGAGGAAAAATAACAAGGCCAGAGTGTAGCCATACATTGTATTTTCTTAACATGCTATGAACAGGACATCCTTTTTCCATCTCAACAGTATTTTTATAAAAACACTGCAACTAGTGGACAGTCAGAGAACATAAATTACCTCCGGACACTCACTTCATGAACAATCAGTCCAGCCGGTTAAGAAAGCCGGTTGTGTTTTTATAATTATTATTATTATTATTATTTTATCATAGTAGCTATTTTTGTGTTATGAAATCCTAATGATGCGTTGCTTATCACTTTCACATTAAAAATATAAAGAAACAGTGATATTATTTTTGTTTGCTGGATGGCCAGACTTATCTGCACGAGACAATCACGGCGTGACTGAAAATAAGGTTCGGTACACAGGCGTATACGCGTTGAATATGTCAATATTTGCATGCGAGAGTCCTGCACATTTTTTAGTGTGCGGCATCGTGTGATGTGGCAAGACGTGTCGTGTGTTTTGTATTTTACGGGTGACGCATTTCTCTCGTGAAGTGACTTAAGTTTTGTAGTGAGCGCCTCTACGAAGAAGAAAACACCCTAAAATCCGGAATACTTGGGCGATCATTCGAATAGTTTCAGAGGTTGATGTGAGCATTAATTAAAGATGTATATGCAAAAGAAAATTGTATATGCATAATAATGAGCTCAATAAATACCAGATGCACTTTCAAGCACAATAATGTCGGATTTCCCTAAGCAAATATGTAAGAGGGAATGTATATTAACCAAACCCTTCTCTGTAAAATCTAATTAAAAAAACACTTTACTGCCATGTTACTCAAGCTGGATGTGAGACAAAAGCAATTTCCGGGCGATGCGCAAAAATGCCAGCAATACATATTTGCAATAATTAAAATGCAAGAGACAGAGCATGGGAAGATTAAGGCCTTTCAAGAGAGGATTGTTAAAACATGATGCTAATGAATTCAGTGACCCAGTCACTCTTGCTCGGTAACAATTTTCAGCCTGTTCACAGAATTTAGAGGGATTTTATGAATAAAAAAAAAAAAAAAGAATCAACTCCAATTACTGGAATGGAAATGTGGCAAGGTTGTCTAAATAGCTTCTCGTGACAGTTACAGCTTTTACCTCAGGGCAAAAATGGAGTGTTTTTGTGGCTGCAATTTGCCTGCCATGTTTGCAGAGTGTTAGTGTGGGAACTTTTTGGAAGGTGTATCAACAAATCTTTCTATGAAAAGACTTCCAGGCCCTGACGATGAAACAATCAAATCTAAAAAAAGTGCTGTTTACTGAGCGTGCCTTCTTGTGCCGTGTGACAATATATTCTTGCGCGGCTGTGTAAATTTGTTCTGCATAGTCTTAAAATATGATTTCCAAATAGATTCTTCAGATTCTTTCTGTCAGTCTTTCTTGCTTTAAAGGATCACTTGCCGTACAACAGGGGTGTAAAACTCATTTTTGTCGCAGGACAGATTTAAGTTTGTTTGGAGGGCCATTTTGACTGAAACCGTATAAACAAGTTAAGAATAACGGTTTATTCACCTATTGTTTAAGTAACTGTAATGAGGGGTTTGGTAACAAGAAAATACTTATAGTATCACTCTTATTTTATTACAAATGAGAATTTGAAATTTGGGTAACGATTTCAGGAAGCATCATGAATGTTGACATTTTTGATGTGCTTACGCAGGCCACATAAAATGACGTGGGGGGCCAGATATGGCCCCCGGGCCTTGAGTTTGACACCTGTGCCGTGCATTTTACTGTTAAATATGCACCCTTGTCTAATTTGGGATTGTTTATTTATTTTTGGGGGGGTGGCGGGGGGATGGGTATTGTGCTGAGGATTTTACGGTAATCATAAAAAGCCAAACAACGTGTGGACAATTATTAGCCTCAACTGATTTTAAGAACAAATCTGAATGGAAAAAAAAGCAATCAACAGCCCAATAAAAACTGCGCATGCAAACAGCGCCACAGACATCAACGCAGGAATATGTGCATTCACGAGGTGCATCACAATCACTCGTCTCCAAGCACAAACCAATTCGCTGACCCTCCTCTTCAAAAGAGACCATCGTTATTAGATGTCTTGAGCTCTCATGTGCATTTCAGGCTCCCACAAACGGAACATTCTGCCTCAAGAGTCGCGACCTGTAAATCAGGTGACTCCAATCTCTCGTCGGACCGCCCGGGCAATGAGCCCCCACCTTACGTTCTTTCTTTTACCCCTCACTACACTTTAACTACAATCACTTGCGCGCTGAGCAATGGAAAGTGACACAGGCTGGAGGGTTGCGATACACCGAGGGGCTCTATCAGCAATTTATAGCCGCCCGTATGCTGAAGTGAAACGCACTTGCTTTTTTTTTTAATTTATGTTTTCACAAACCAAGTCGCAAAGTCAGCAAAAGTGCATCCGTTTCGGTGTACCAGCAGTTGTTTGTCTTGCAGTCTCGCCCTTTTTTTGTGATGAATACCATCGTTGTACTTCACTTACATTTTCTTGTTAACTGAGTGAAGCATAAAAACGAACACAAATGTGATCAAATCTGCCATCATCGGTGACTGAAACCACTTAGCTCTACGCGAGGAGGTTCAGTGAGAGGCCATGTTTTCGGCCCATTGTTTCCAGATCAGTGGCTCGGCCCTCGGTTGCTATGGCTGCCGCTGTGCCCACCTTTTCCTGGACATATAAGGCAGGACAGCAGCACCGACTGCTTCACCGGACCACGTGGATGGAGAGCACGCTCTCCGCACAGCACTTGTTCATATATTTCAGCAAGTGCCAGCTTTTAAGAGTCAGTGAGAGACCTTGACGGTGGTTAGGGTTCTCTTTATCCGTGTGCTGTGTGCAATCCTGAATTCATGCAGAGGGCCTCTCAGCCATGCTGTCAAAAGTACAGAGATATGCCGAACAGAGAAAAAAGTATGTGAGGGGGCTGATTTTGATCCACTTTGATAGTGCGTGTCGGAAAAATGAAAATACCTTTCTGTGAAAACGTCACTTCGGTTTGACTGCTTTGTTGAAGGGTCTGCCGGGAAAAATTGAATTAGCATTTTGTGATATTTTTTTTCCCATTAACGTGTACACATTGACTGAACATAAGCATCAGCACTTTCATTGACCTTGACCAAAACCAGTTTCTTCTCATGACGATAAACGATTGTTTCAAACCAAGTAAGGCAAAACAACTTTTTATTTTTTTAAATCACACAGTCCAAAGGAAAACCCCATCAATGAGCTTGAGGGTGCCTTACAGCATCACGAGTATCTCTTTGCAGCTTTGTACATATCCCCCAGTGATAACAAAAGACACTAAAGTTGTTCACACTGGCTGAAGAAAGAACGCATAGACAGAAGAAACTCAGAGGAAAAATGAAATGCCCCTCAAGTCACAATTCATAATGGACTAATTTGTCATGCAAAATGTTTGTCACGCATGAGTTCGATGCACATGTTATGCATGACGTCCCAGTGAGTCTCAAAATGTCGTACAAGGACCACTAGTGGTATGCGGACATCCTCCAGTCGTACGTAAATAATCACTGAATTCAATGTTCACACTGTCTATTATATTCAGGTCGCTTTTTTTAATTGTATGGAAAAAAAAATTTAGCCTTTTTTTTTTTTTTGCACAGTTCAGTTATATTTAACTTTTAGGCACATTTGGATTTAAGCTTTTCGTCGTGTTTCTTTTCGTCATTTTTCATTTAACATGAATGTACAATCCAATTAAATTTTCACTAAAAAGTGAAAGTGTGACCGCATGAATTCACCAAGCCTTCAGCAAGCTTCCCTCTCCACTTCAGTCAATGCTACACGTACGTCACGTTTTACTACACAGTGTTTTTTTTTTTTTTTAACACTTCTATGAGTGGAAAAGGCTTTGGGGAAATCTGCCTCCAGCTGTGAAGAAATCGATCAACCAGCGTCCTGGAATGGATTGTGTTTGACCTCAGAGGTTCACAACGTGCCCTCAAAGAATGACTGTACACTTACAAAAAAAGTTAGTCACAAGAAGTGCTCGGTTAAAAGGGCCTCAATTTTGGAACCAACAAACATTATGCATTTAGACCTTTGAATGCTATTAATTCAATGAGGTCATGGAACATGCCCTGCACATGGTGCAGCAGATGGCCTAACATAAGAACAAAACAAAAATGCAGCTTGTAAAATTGTGAACAAAAGTGACAAGTGATGATCATTTCTCAACATTTTCTGACATCATTCTTTGCTTCTTTCCTCACCCTCCAAACTAATTTCCCCACCGCCCAAGTTTTCCTGATTGCTTCACAAAAAATAAAAAAAAAAAGAAAGAAAAAAACACTCTGGCTTTCATCTAGCTCATGAACATCTGCTCAACTAAAGATCCACCCACATCCACCAGCATCCAGCAAACAGTATAGTGTGTATAGTTCAATGGGGGTCAACTGACAGGAGCCGGACAGACTATGTTAAATTATGCATGACGACCGAACAAAGCTTGAGAAGGCATTATTCAGCCGGGCTGGATGAAGCCATATCACACAGAGCGGAAGTATCTAAGGGACGCTGCCATGTTTAGCGAAGAACTCCCGTGCACTGTGTTCCTTTCCATGTCAATGGGTTGCCATAGCAACTCGGGTTTTGGATAATTCCCACATCAGGTGGCTTTTGTCGCAAAGAAAATAGAGAAACAGAACAGCTAATCGATGATGTTCTGGAGTTCCGTCATGGTTCTCTCATTGATGATGGAAGATAGTAGCAGTAGTGACATATGCCCACTGGACACTTGATTAGGTACACCTGCGCAATCGAATGAGATCCTGAGTTGCTTTCCGACATGAAGAGTCACTGTCAGGTCCAACTGCGAGTGAGATTTGAACGCAGCATCACTCCACTAACCTCTCGCCCCGTCTGAGTAACAGAGCCTAACTATTACCCTACATGCTATCAATTTGAAGTTTTATTTTTGATATGTACGGTCGATGAATAAACAAAACGAGATGATAAATTTAGATGTCGGCTACAATTGTTGATCATTCCGTGACAATTATTTCCCTGATGATCACCCTTGTTTTGTCTCGTTTGTCTGTACAAATTTTGGATATTCCGGAATACTTTCTGCAAAGCTCCTCAAGTCCAACGTTAGAGGTGTGACAGCTGTCAGAGTGCCCACAATGACACAAGGATGAGTGATACCCTGTCAGTCACGCCTTCTCTTACTGATTATTTGTTTTTCCATGGGTGCAGCAGTTTCCGTAAAAAACTATTCAGAGGTACAAGAAGAGATCAGCAATGGCTGATTTTTTCCCCCCACAGATCATTTTACGAATGTACTACGATCAACTTATACTGACAGTTCAAACAAAATTGACCACAAGTATTTTTTTTTTCTCAAATTGCTAAAGTACAGCTGAGGAGACGAAAAACATTTTTGAATGATTTTAACACTGCCAGCTGGAGATCAAGAGCATGGTGGGTTTCATACA